TTCGTTACGTGCGCGCGAACTTGATGTATAATTTGCAAAATTTTGTGTTACTCACTCATTTATTGGAGGGCACTGTATATACAGTATATGTACTACTTACGAAGTCTTCCTTCCCTCTTTCTCAAAAATGGTTGCTGTAATAACAAGGTAGGAATAATTAAAAAGTTGTTTAAAGTCAGAACTATTCGGAGTTTAATTATCTCTTGTTTATCTCAAAATTGTAAAAGGATCTGTAAAAACGCTCTCAAAAGGCGCTTTGCATGAGCTTTTAATGCTTGAGACAGAAAACACTTACGAAGATTACGGTGTACCCCAGGTACGAAAATGACAAAAACTGCAAACCTGAGTAGTAGAGCCGTAGAGCAGTAGAGCACCTGAGCCAAATCTGCATTCCGTGCCACAGTTGCGGAGTAGCCACAAACACTAAATTAGAGCGATATTCTAGCAACGAAAAATTGTCATATACAAAGTGATCAATAAATAATTTCATATCAATCTTGTTTATTTTGATTTCTTCCAACAATGAACACCATCGATAATATCATTCCCGATGAAAAGCGAATGCGTCTGATAAACCGATTGAACTTTCTATCGAAGAATTTGAAAAAAAAAATTGGTGGCCGTTGGTAACAAACGTATGGACGCAATATAATTCTTACAAACATGTCAATGGCGATTTCTGGAGAGGTTACGTTTGCCGCTTGGCTAAGCATCGAGAATCAAGCGCACGACAGGAAGGAGTTTTAGTTGAAAAGCGTAGACAAACATCAGTCACTCTTTCCAAAAGCTACTCATCAAAGAAGCTTTTACAGAATTGAGAGTGGAAAGAATGCCCCAGGTCTGACTTCACTTGAACTGTGATTGTTTGTTTATGAACAAATATCTACTGCCATGTAAACATATTTTTCATGAACATATGTATGGATCCACTAAGTTATTGACTGATGTGTTTGGAGAATGTTTCAGAATATGTTTGAGCAAATTGTCATACCTGTGCTGCAAACAGATGAACAGAGAAGAATTGGTAGCCAAAGACTTACTGTTAATGAATTAATAGAGGGAGTGCGGGATATGTATTGGAGGATAGAGTAGAGTGGTAGCAGGGAGCAGATCAATAGTTTCATATTCATTGAAAACTTAGAGAGATCTTTAAACCTGATTTTGAGGGGTGAATCTGAATAGCACATTTAATATTATTAATAAAAATTTTGATTTGATCATTGATATTGATATCAAATTGTGGCAATGCTTGTGATGTTTGCTTACAACATAATAGTAATAGCTCCAAATGTCAGTAAAATTTAGTTCGTTTATTTGTGTATGAGCCACAGTTATAATCGAGCAAAGCTCATCAAACTGTTATCATAATCAGCTAATACTAAATTAATTGCAACATCAGCCTATGATCAAACGTTCACTTTGTCTGGTTTTGTTGCAGCATAGTATAGTAATAAATCTTTGCAAATAAGACTAAAACTTAATCTGGGTTGTTCCCGGCTCACTGCAACTATGTGAAAACTATTATTTATTGCAACCAATATTGCTGCTGTGATCTCGCAGATGAGTTGTATTTTTGGGCGCAAAAAAAAAGCGCGACCGCATATGTAAATATCGATGACGTTGGGCCCCTTAGCATCAGAAAGAAAGGTGTTTCACTGTACACTGATTAAAGAGTCTGCAAATTAGGATCGTGTCACTCTAGATTCATTTCCTTCCACAGCTCCTCAACTCGTTTTCGTTTCTCGCGTGCTTCTTGTGCGTTTCTGGAACGTCGAATCTCAAACTGCACAAGTTGAGACGACCAAAGTTTAGTACAAATAGTGATGATAAGAGGGAGTTGATTTAATGAATGTACCTCCCTCCCCACGCAAAATGTAAATTCTTTTTAGAGAAGACATCACATGATCTGCAAATTCTATAACACCTCGATCTGCGACGCCAGCACAAGGCTCTGAAATTCTCACTTCTTTTCATTGACGGAAAGCAATGGACGCGGACGCGTGGCCAATTTTAAATACCGATGTTATCTTCGATAATCTTACTATACGTGAACTAGTTCTGTACTTTTAGTCAATCGACTATGGTGCCGAGCTGCTCTTCCAATATATTGGAGAGCCCCATTCAGTTATACAGCGAGCGACACGAAGCAAGGCCGCGACAAAGACCTATGAACTGTTCCTTGAATGTACCGTTTCAACGCGTTACGATTATCGATCGTAGCTTAAAGAACTAAATAAACTTCACAAATTTGCTGGCAGCTTTAAGCGAAGAAGATAACTTCAAGAAGGTCAACTCAGTTCTCCAAATGCTAACGTTTCATGGTGTTCGTCTAGAACAGTGACATATGCTCCCATATTCAGTTCTCTCGTTTTCGTCAAAATCTTTCAGAAAACGAACGTCTTAAAGATACTAGCGAAAAATTGCACCACACTGGTACGTGTATACAACTAACACGCTTTATAAACACGATGTCTCGTGAATAATTACTTACAACCCACTTTTGAAATATCTTTTCTAGTTTCATCTTGACATGCATATATGCACGACAACTCTACCAGTCGCGTTGACGAAACGCTATCTTATCTGAGCGAATTGATTTCTGCTCAGACCTGTCTGTTGAGTCTTCTGGGCAGAAAACTGTTCCCAATACTTCAATTACACCCTGAACGTCTCAGACGTCTTGAACTTGTAAAATGGAATTTTAAGGGCTGTGAATGAGAATGGCTGTCACAATGTCCGAATTTGATAGAATTTGCGCTTACAAGCTATCTTGCACGGGATCTCGAAGGCGTCCTGGGTGCCGAGCACGAAACACATCGTTTGCAAATATCCAAGAGTACAAGGTTAGCAACTGAGCATTGGCATCTTAAGGGAAACGAAAAAAAGGGTTACTTTCATCCGGTTGAGTCACGGTCAATGACATGCCTCCAGTGCCAACGACGAGCACCTCACGAAAGAAAGTCCGACCAACGATCAAATCCAGATTCATGTTGTTACGCAGTTCTTACGAGATGAGACATAATTATTCGAGTCTTGTGAACAAGTTGTTGGCAAATAATAAGGATCATTATGACTTTGTTATTTAGCTGACTGCCATATAATGATAAGTGATTGCAATTGCATCTTAAATCTGTAAAATTTGTTGAATAAAAAAAATAGCTCTCAATTTCAGTAAAAATTATGTAATCGAATATTATGATTCTCCCGGGCGAGGCAAACGCGTGTAATTCAGTTTCCATCCAGTTACTTAATATCACCAATGGAAGACTTGAGACATTACCAAATGAGAGGGATGAGAGACTGAATGACTATCGAATATAAACATGACCTGATGATTATATTATTAAAATCTCTTGAATATTCATTCCTTTCCAGGAAGTATCCTCACAAGATATTGCAGCAAGCGGTTTTACCTTTTGTATTGCATTTGACGAATACTGTATATGGGCTATTGGAAAACTTGCGTTTGCGGAACATCCAATTGTAACTACATCTACAGATAAGTAATTTTTGTACGTAACGAATTGATTACTTGTCTATCAACGCCGGAGAGAGATCCTTTCATTCTTTTGCAAGTAATCCATTTAACTGGCCTTTTCGTATTAATTTTCTTTAGTATTAGATCTACACATTTTCGATCCGAGACATTGATGGCTAGATAAAGTATTCTTCCTTTATTTTTGCGATTTTCCAAACAGTGCTTGGCGTCGTTATCTTCTTGCCCCATGTTACCCTCGCCAAAACGTGGTTTAAATCCGGTTTCGTTCATTTAATAAATCCTTCTACAATACACCCGATTTCCAGTTGGTTAGTGCATAATCACATGATTTCCGATTATATGCGCCTTTCGGAAAATTGAAAGGAAACTCCGCAAAATGGAAATTTACCTTACTTTCTGGTTTCTTTGACTGGAAATTGTTCTGACAATGGAGGCGGGGCCAATTTTAAATGCTGATGTTCTCGAAATTATCTTCAAAGATTTAAACATTCGTGACTTACTTTCGGCACTTTTAGTCAATCGATTATGGTGCCAAGAAGCTGTTCGATTATATTGGAGAGCTCCGTTTAGTCATACAGTGAAAAGATGTATGGCTGCGTCAAAGAC